TAACTATTAACTGGCTCTCTTTTAAACTGCTTGTTTCGGGTAGCGTGAGCTCCCAGCGACCCAGGAGCGAGGTGGGGTGATGGCAGTGGCGTAGGTAGATTGGTGGTATTGTCTAGACGTCTGGAAAGTAGTTGTTGTTGTTGTGGCTGCAGTTCTTGATATATATATATATATATATATATATATATATATATATATATATATATATATATATATATATATATATATATATATATATATATATATATATATATTCTCGGAAATTGTATAGTAAAAATTTCATATAATCGTCTTATGACTTATTAGCGTAAAACCAGATGAAAAAAAAACAATATTTTGTTATTTTGTTTACTACAGAAAAATCGTAATTTTCCACACAAAATTTAGACCAAATTTTATTTCCGGTAAAAATATTACTTTCTACACCCCTGTGTCTTCCCATGTACACCCTTCCCCTGCTGACTCTCACCTTCCCCTGCTGACTCTCACCCTCCCCTGCTGACTCTCACCTTCCCCTGCTGACTCTCACCTTCCCCTGCTGACTCTCACCTTCCCCTGCTGACTCCTACCTTCCCCTGCTGACTCTCACCTTTCCCTGCTGACTCTCACCTTCCCCTGCTGACTCCTACCTTCCCCTGCTGACTCTCACCTTCCCCTGCTGACTCCTACCTTCCCCTGCTGACTCTCACCTTCCCCTGCTGACTCTCACCTTCCCCTGCTGACTCTCACCTTCCCCTGCTGACTCTCACCTTCCCCTGCTGACTCTCACCTTCCCCTGCTGACTCCTTCCTTCCCCTGCTGACTCCTACCTTCCCCTGCTGACTCCTACCTTCCCCTGCTGACTCCTTCCTTCCCCTGCTGACTCTCACCTTCCCCTGCTGACTCCTACCTTCCCCTGCTGACTCCTACCTTCCCCTGCTGACTCCTACCTTCCCCTGCTGACTCCTACCTTCCCCTGCTGACTCCTACCTTCCCATGCTGACTCCTACCTTCCCCTGCTGACTCCTACCTTCCCCTGCTGACTCCTACCTTCCCCCTGCTGACTCCTACCTTCCCCTGCTGACTCCTACCTTCCCCTGCTGACTCCTACCTTCCCCTGCTGACTCCTACCTTCCCCTGCTGACTCCTACCTTCCCCCTGCTGACTCCTACCTTCCCCTGCTGACTCCCCCCTTCTAAACTAATGAGAACAGATTGGGGGGGACTGCGATACCCTGCTGTGCTGGTATTAAACATGGCTGCTGAAATATAACTGAGTCAAATGCAATGTTATGAGGGCAGAAACAACACAGAGAGAGAAGGGGAGACTTATTGGTGTTCAGAAAGGAAGAAAGTCTTGGAAATAGACTTCCCAAATAAAAATTCAAGAAAAATACATTAACGGAATATTCTCAGCAGCATATGTCAGACTCTAGATTGGTATAGCTAGTTTGGACAGACATCGAGGCTTTTGGGGGTCCTATACTCAACCTACATGAGACCACTCTCAAATATGCAGCCCTGGTATAGAACCATCGCCTGAATAAAAAAAAGTAAAAGACGAAATTATTAAACAAGCAAAAGGATATATATCACAAGGCACTCTCCTGAGCTTGACCAGGTGAATACAACTAGGTGAGATCCTGGACACACACACACACACACACACACACACACACACACACACACACACACACACACACACACACACACACACACACACACACACACACACACACACACACACACACACACACACACACACACACACACACATACACACACACACACACACACACACACACACACACACACACACACACACACACATACATACACACACACACACACACACACACATACATACACACACACACACACACACACACACACACACACACACACACACACACATACATACACACACACACACACACACACACACACACACACACACACACACACACACACACACACACACACACCGCTGACGCCGCAAAATATACATATTGACTCATGCGTATTTAAAAATGCATAGAAACAAGCACAGGGCCACCAGAAATATACACAGTCTCTCTCTCTCTCTCTCTCTCTCTCTCTCCCTCTCTCTCTCTCTCTCTCTCTCTCTCTCTCTCTCTCTCTCTCTCTCTCTCTCTCTCTCTCTCTCTCTCTCACTCTCTCTCTCTCTCACTCTCATCCCCCTTCCTACTTCCTCCCTCACCAAGCATACGGCATCAGTGCCACTCCAGCAATTCCCTAATTAATTACGTGTGCTAGACTCGGTGCTTCCCTCGTGCTGTTGGCTGCCCTGAGTGCCACTGTCAAGGGGGGGGGGGGCACACACCCCTGATACAATTTAAATAAAACAAATTACAGGCAAATTTCATTTCTATGTAAATCGCAGATTAAAATGTACATCTGAATGATGGCTTTGCTTGCGAATATTTTGTATATATAATGTATTTTTTGCTTGCTGCTTCAATATTTAGGTCAATTTAGAGGGAATAAGTGGATATGTGAGCACACACACACATGTATATGTGCAGGCATATGTATACGTTTTAATATATACATGGATATTGTTGCATAGTATACTCCATTTGCAACACAGCTTGCTAGAGGGCGTAACTCCTACGGCGTCCCGAGAGAGTAGGCAAATATGAGTTGTGGGGAGCTCACTGACGAACTCTGGCCAACTATCTGAACCTCATACATCTGACCTCATACAGCTGACCTCATACAGCTGACCTCATACAGCTGACCTCATACAGCTGACCTCATACAGCTGACCTCATACAGCTGACCTCATACAGTTGACCTCATACAGCTGACCTCATACAGCTGACCTCATACAGCTGACCTCATACATCTGATCCTCATACATCTGACCTCATACAGTTGACCTCATACATCTGACCTCATACAGCTGACCTCATTCATCTGACCTCGTACATCTGACCTCATACAGTTGACCTCATACAGCTGACCTCATACAGCTGACCTCATACAGCTGATCCTCATACATCTGACCTCATACATCTGACCTCATACATCTGACCTCATACAGCTGACCTCATACATCTGATCTCATACATCTGACCTCATACAGTTGACCTCATACAGTTGACCTCATACATCTGACCTCATACAGCTGACCTCATACATCTGACCTCATACAGCTGACCTCATACAGTTGACCTCATACATCTGACCTCATACAGCTGACCTCATACATCTGACCTCATACATCTGACCTCATACAGCTGACCTCATACAGCTGACCTCATACAGCTGACCTCATACAGTTGACCTCATACATCTGACCTCATACAGCTGACCTCATACATCTGACCTCATACATCTGACCTCATACAGCTGACCTCATACAGCTGACCTCATACAGCTGACCTCATACAGCTGACCTCATACATCTGACCTCATACAGCTGACCTCATACATCTGATCCTCATACATCTGACCTCATACATCTGATCCTCATACATCTGACCTCATACAGCTGACCTCATACATCTGATCCTCATAAATCTGACCTCATA